CCTGGCTATTCGAGAAGGCATTTAACTGAGTGCTTACTAATTGGTAATGACAACCGGAACGAAATGGATTACAAGACTGGTTACGATTCGATGATGGAACGGAGCGGATTATTTAGTGTAATTTAGATTATTGTGTATTTGATATGTTGATTTTCTTGTTTGTGTTCTATTGTAAACGGTTTTATATGTTGTACACCGCTGCGAGTCGCCCCAGGGCTGAGAGTGGCGGTCAACAAATGCACCAAATAAATAAATAAATAAATAAATAAATAAATAAATAAATAATAATAATAATAATAATGGCATTTTAGCACATTTGAAATGTATTGCTCAGTGGAATTTAGTATATGGAGTGGTATATCTTCTCAGTTCATTCCAGATAGGCCAACTATGTCTCCCAACCCGGTTATATCCCATACAGACTGTGTCATGTCCCACTTTTGCATTTCCTTCTCTCCAGACCACGGCTACGATTGGCTGGTGATCTTCCTCCAATCCAAGCCAAGCTCTGGCCCTCCAGATGTTTTGGATTTTTCCCTAATTGCTGATCAAAGGCAGCTGAGTCTCTCTGGAGTTGGAGGCCAACCATCCCTGCAGGACTAGAGCTTGGGAATGGCCGCGCTCGGCTTTGTTTCCTTTTGTGCCCTGAACCCAGGACTCCCCACAACGGGTTTTGCCCCCATTTGGCTCCGCAATTAAGCAGAGTTTTCCAAAGGCCAGTTTAGGAAGTGATACTCTGTGTGCAGAGGAGGAAATTGGAGGGAGAGACGATGGAGTAAGGCAGCCACTCAGCCAAGGTCAACAAAGGTAAGCTGTGACAATATCTATATAAATCAAAATGTCATGTTCGTTTGTGGGATTAACAGAACTCAAAACCCACTGGACGAATGGACACCAAATTTGGACACAAGACACCTAACAACCCAATGTATGGCCTTCACTCAAAAAAACACAGAAAAACACAAATACAATACAATGCATGCGCAAAACCACACTTATATACACAAACACACACATACACACATCTATGGATATACACACACAAAACACATACACAGAAAGGGGAAAGGAAGGAAGGAAAGAAAGAGAGAAGGAGGGAGAGAAGGAGGGAAGGAGAGAAAGAAGGAAAGAAAGAAGGGTAGAAAAGGGAGGAAGGAAGGAGAGAAGGAGGGAGAGAAAGAGGGAAAGGAGAGAAAGACGGAAGGAGAGAAGGAGGGAGAGAAAGAGAAGGAAAGAAGGCGGGAAGGAGAGAAAAAAGGAAAGAAAGGATAGAGAGGGTAGGAGGGAAAGAAGGAAAGAAAGAAGGGTAGAGAAGGAATGAAGGAGAGAAGGAGGGAGAAAAAGAAAGAGGGAAAGAAGGGAAAGAAGGTGGGAAGGAGAGAAAACGAAAGAAAGAATGGTAGAGAAGGAAGGAAGGAGAGAAAGAGGAAAGGAGAGAAAGAAAGAAGGAAAGAAGAAGGGAAAGAAGGTGGGAAGGAGAGAAAGAAGGAAAGAAAAGGTTAGAGAAGGAAGGAGACAAGGAGGGAGAGAAAGAAAGAAAGAGGGAAAGAAGGAGAGAAGGAGAGAAAGAAGGGTAGAGAAGGAAGGAAGGAGAAAAGGAGGGAGAGAAAGAGGGAAAGGAGAGAAAAAGAAATAAAGAAGGGTAGGGAAGGAAGGAAGAAGGAGAGAGAGAAAGAAGGAAAGAAGGGAAAGGAGGCAGGAAGGAGAGAAAGAAGGAAAGATAGAAGGGTAGAGAAGGAAGGAAGGAGAGGAGGGAGAGAAAGAAGGAAAGAAAGAAGGGTAGAAAAGGAGGGAAGGAGAGAAGGAGGGAGAGAAAGAGGGAAAGGAAGGAGAGAAGAGGGGAGAGAAAGAGGGAAGAAGGAGGGAAGGAGAGAAAGAAGGAAAGATAGAGAAGGAAGGAGGGAGAGAAGATGGGAGAGGAGGGAGAGAAAGGAGGAGGGAAAAAGGTGGGAAGGAGAGAAAAGGAAAGAAAAAGGGTAGAGAAGGAAGGAAGGAGGAAGAGAAAGAAAGAAAGAAAGAAAGAAAGGGGAAAAAGGCGGGAAGGAGAGAAAACGAAAGAAAGAATGGTAGAGAAGGAAGGAAGGAGAGAAAGAGGAAAGGAGAGAAAGAAAGAAGGAAAGAAGAAGGGAAAGAAGGTGGGAAGGAGAGAAAGAAGGAAAGAAAAGGTTAGAGAAGGAAGGAGACAAGGAGGGAGAGAAAGAAAGAAAGAGGGAAAGAAGGAGAGAAGGAGAGAA